ATCAGTTTTTAGTTTGCTCTTATACTTTGTGTGTGTGTGTGTGTAAACAAAGATTTTTTAATTAATTTATTTATTTTTCTATTATCAGCTTGATACAGTATAAGTTCTTATCCTAATAGTGAAATGTTTGATTGAGGCTTGCCCAGTAATTGAGTAAAACCAAAACTTATTGTAAGCCACAGTCATCCTAGGATTCCCCCTGCTATAGCCTCCCTGGTTCTGTGGGTTGCAGTCTGATTATTCTTTGCTTTATATCTAGAATCCACTTATGAGTGAGAACATACCATGTTTGTCCTTCTGGGTTTGGGTTATCTCACTCAGGATGATATTTTCTAGTTCCATTCATTTGCCTGCAAATTTCATGCTGTCATTGTTTTTCTCTGCTGAGTAGTACTCCATTGTGTATATGTACCACATTTTCTTAATCCATTCTTCAGTTGAGGGGCATTTGGTTGTTTACAGGTTCTGGTTATTACAAATAGTGCTGCTATGAACAAAGTTGAGCATGTATCTTTGTGGTATGAGCATTTCTTAAAGAAATGCTCTTATACTTTCTATAAGAAAGTATACAAAGCCTGAGTACAAGTATGTGTGCATTTTCTCAGGCGCCCCTTTCTTACAGTGAAAACTGGTGCAATGGGACAAATATCCTCCTGGTTCCTGTGTAGGTGGGGACCGGAAGCAGACTGGTGATGTGAAAAAGCAGACATATTTCAGTGCCATAACGGACCTAGTCTGCTTCTCCTACCCCATTTATGAGCAAGACAGAAATTCACTGGTCCAGGTCTTTCCCAGGATAGCATTACATTTCACGTAATTTTGAACTCTGTGTCCTTGGCAGATGGCCAACAAGGATGAAGATTCTGCTACATAACGGGCAAGAGAATGACAATCTAGACTGCTACCTGTCTTTAACTCCTGTGTGTGCTCGGTGTCAGCGGTGACTGTGATGGTGGTGACGGCTGCTGCAAACCACGGGATCCCGACAGCAGAGAGGGTGAGAGAGCTCATCACATGCACTCTCCACTCTTCCAAACTAGCGGCTGATCTGTGCCAGGGAGATGCTAATCTTAGTTTTACAAAGTGTTCCAGGAGCCTCAAAACATTTTTAGCTTCTATCTCTTGCTTTGGGCACACTTCCTTGCTGGTGCGTAAGTTAGCAGGGACATGAAGAAGTTGACAGTCTGGTCACAGACGGCACAAGATTGGCAAGCAAGGAAGCTGGTTCTGAAAATTGAGAAGCAGGAAGCATCAGCTCAGTCTCGACATGACATAAACATCAGATTCATGCGGATCCTTTCTTTTTCCGACTCCAGGAAACAAAATGTGGGTGCAGTTGTATCACCTGGAGAGTGAGCCGAAGACGACTGGACTACTTTGGACTTCACATGTTGCCAGTTCCTTGCAGAATTTAGTTTCCTGAGCACTTGGCTTCCAAACTTGTATTCTCCTCTGAGAAAGAGGAATTTCCATCTAAAAGGCAACACTGGTTTATTGAGTTGCTAAGACTGCTGAGTGTCCCTAAGACAGTATGCGCTGTTCATCCTGATCATCTTAAACAGCTGGGTAGTACTACCCCCATTTCATTTACAAAAATGATAAGATTCAGAAGTAATACCCTCAGGTTACTTGATTGGTCTAAAATGAATATTACATTTGAGTATGGGTTTGTGTGTCCCATAGTCACCCAGAGATAAAAATTTCAGAGAAGCATTACATCTGTAATCCTGCATAGAATGATAGAAATGGACACAATTTCACCTGTCCATCCTGGATCGATGAGACTGAGGCTTCACATTCTGATTCTGCCCACACAGGCAACCATGGAAGCAAGAAGGACGCCTTCCCGCACCCACATATCTTTACCCTTCGTTTCCAGGTCAGACTCAGCACATTAGTGAGAGCCTGTACACCCCCTCCTTAATCTGCCCTTCCTCCCATCAACACACACCAATGTTTGCACAACTGCCCACCCACAGGTCATGGGGTGGATTCTGCCAAGCTGTACTTCCACTGTGGGGAAGCAGAGAGCTGAGAGGGTCTGTCCAGACTTCTGTGTAAGCTGGAACATAGGCCTGCTGGGCCCCTCTGGAATCACAATAGGGTGCTCCCAGGGTAGCGTGTGAGTGGTGACTCAGAGAGGCAGCTATCCGTACATCTAGGGGGCACATAGCCCACTGTGCCAGGCTTGGGGGAAGCTTACTTCTACATTTGTTAGATGGCTTGCACCCAGCAGCAGTAAGGCTCTGGTGGGATACGGCAGACTTTAAGTCCCAAGTAAAGTAGACTAGTCAGTTTGGCTTTTAAAACCATACATAAGGTTTTACAATCTCTTACACAAAGTCTCTTGAAAAGAGAAAGGAACAGCTCTTAACTCACTTCCATCTCCCACCCCACCAGTGCAAGACGATGAAGAGAACTCCTTCCTATCTGGGTACAAGAGGGTAGACCAGTCGGATCAGCTGGGTGGAGCATCACCTTCGGGGAGATGGATGGCCTCACTGGACCTTTCTGCCCCTCTTCAAAATGAAGATGGCCAGGCTTGGATTGATATTCTTGCATCCTGAAAAACATTCTCTCTCTCTCTCTCTCTCTCTCTCTCTCTCTCTCTCTCTCTCTCTCTCTCTCTCTCATGTGAGTGCGGGGAGTTGAACTCAGAGCCTCATGCTGGTGTGGCAAACATTTACCTTAGGCTCTCCTCAGCTCTTTTAAGCAGAATATCCTCTGAAGAACAAGCATACGGGGAAGCATAGATCTTCCAGTTAAACAGAAGGGGGTTCTTCACACTAAGAATGGGGGGAATGGGCCTGACACTGTGGTGAAGTCCAGAGGCACAGGTGCAGGCTGTACGTGGCTCCGGGTGCTATGAGTATGAACTTTCCTTCTCGTGGATGGAGATGGAAAAGGTGGCACCTCTGACCAGCACAAAGCCAGCCTTGTGTTGTTCCCAGACTCCCATTAAGCCTCCGTATTAATTGAGGTTTAACTCATAGTTCTCTCTTAATTATTCAATGAATGAATAAGGAACGAAATAGTGTCTTGAAGTACACAGAGCAGGTCAAGTTAGTCCTCTAGAATAGGCCTTCTGCCTTTTGGGAGCCTGTAATGATAGAGCTTGGCCAATGTGGGAGTCCTTACCAGCTCTGAGAGGTCAGGTCTTCAGCTGGAGCTGGGAAACAGGTAGCAGACGTTTGGGTGTGTGAGTCTGTGGGGGTGTGTAAGAGTGTACACAGAAACTGCCACACCCACACCCCACATACCGTGATGGGGTGGAGTCATTTGCTGCCCTTAATCCTAATCGTCTCATCATTCCAGAAGTTTTGATCTTTGACGGCAACGGGTCCCTACGGACACCGACCAGAGATGACAGGACTAAGGGTCATCTTTCCAGCAGCAGTCGCTTGCCTGCTCGCCCCTTCTGGGCATCTCCACTACCACTGGCTCACAGTCATCACAGGATATACCACTGAAAGGAAAAGAGGGTCGTGTCTGGCCATGCCTGGACATTTAGGCCACAAGACTCACCCATTTCACTCAAGACATGAACAACTTGTTCGGAAATTGGGAGGAAGAATGATTAAGAACGAGTTACAATATACCCCCTTGTTAAAGAAAAAAATAAACAGTATCACATATTCTTCTAAATACTAATCCTGGTGTTTTGGAAGACGCTTTAGAATTCTGAAGGGCCTAGAATGGTGGCTGAGAGGCCGTGACGGCAGTATGGTGTGGTGATCTGACTGACGTGTCAACTGCGTTCGGTGAGCTGTTCCGTGTGAGCATTTCAAGTCCCGGGGTCCAGCTTCAGCTGGTACTAAATGGCAGAATGAATTTGATGCAGCTGGAGGGAGCTTTTCTAAGATTTCCCTCCATTCTAATAGTCTGTGTGTGTGTGTGTGTGTGCTGAGTTTCCATCATTGGAACTGAAAGAACCTGAAAACTTTCTTTAAAAAAAAAACCCTCATAAAATGTTAAGTGTGCAGCTGTATAAATGTTAAGTGTGCAGCTGTATGCGAGTATGTGCACATGAGTGTAGGAGTCGTTGGAGGCCAGAAGAGGGTGCTGCATCCCCTAGAGCTGGAACTGGAGTTGTAAGCAGTTTTGAGTGGGTGCTGGGAATTGAACTTTGGTTCTCTGCAAGAGCCTTACACACTCTTAACCATGGAGATACCTCTCCAGCCCCCAGGAAACCTGAAGACTCTTGAACAGCAGGGGAGGTTCAGGAGCAATTCTGTATTCATAAAGCCACTGGGCTGGGCTTCCAGCTCAGTGTTGACCTGCCCTGAAACCAGCCAGGGAAATGGAAAGCAGGAAGAACGGGGACTCCAGAGCCACAGGCCATGGCACAGTTTATTATTATATTCTTCAAGCCCATGACATGGATTCTTCCAGGTAGAAATGGAGGGGTGTGTGCCATTTACCCAGCTTTTCTCAGACCTGGGAGTGCCTCCTGCTGTCAGTGAACTATGAGATCTAGAGACAGGGATATGTCCCACCCTGCAAGAACCATAGACAGGGAAAGGCAGTGAGTGGGGAAAGAGATACTGAACCAGCTCCCCTTGGCCTCAGGCCATTTCCAGAAGACCCTGAGAGAGAGGCATGGCATAGAGGAGCCAGTCTCCATTGACTGCAGAAACTCATCCCACAGCTCATGTGACCGTAGTCACGTGTGCAATGTAATTCATCTTTTTAAGTGTTCCACCTCCTTTATCTCACCCAACCTTACTTCTCAGGTCCACTTCTCCCTGGACTCTATTCCACTCAGTTCTGGGACAGGCTGAACTTTATACGTGTAAAATCTCAACCAAGAACGGAGTTTTGAACAGCGACTCTTTGTGTTACATAAACCGTGTCGGTGATACGTAAGGCTTCCCTCTCCTTCTCCCTCCCGCTCCCGCGAGACTCCACGTCTTTAGAATGATCTCTATCAGCACTGAACAGCACAGCTGCTCTGAGTACACACATATGCTTGGACTCAAACCTCTTCCTTCTCCACCCCAGGCAGGGAAGACGCCAGCCCTGAGCTGTGAGGCCGCGAAGGCTCTAGGTAGAGCCAGTCTCTTCCGGTGGGTTGGTGCCGGCTGTGCCGGTCGGCGGCCTGGCTACTCCTTCAGCAGTCCCAGCTTCTTTAGAGCCTCCCTCCTGTGTCCATCAGGGATGCCCTTGGGGGATATCTTAACACTGACACAGGGCGGGCGAGGAAGCTTGTCGTGGCTCTGTCCTCTGAAGGACAGCTGCTGGGCGCGCGGGCCCTGCTCCAGGCCAACCAATTTGCCCCCCTGGATTTCTGCAAAGTCCTTTCCCATGCCCAAGGAGGCAGGCCGGGGCCGGGAGTTACGCAAGACGCTGGGTGAAGCCTTGTCCGAGACGGGGCTCTTTCCCAGAGATGTACTGGTTTGGCATTTGGGGTCTTTCTCTGCCGCCGAGAGATAGCTGCTCAACCCCACGCCTGAACGCTCCAGGGTATTGGACTTGAAGTTGATCTGTCTCAGGCCGGGGATGCTACTTTCCTGCAGGGTCAGCCGTGGATCAGGCTTGGGCCGTGTCAGGGAACTGTTTTCCTTTGAGGCCTTAGGGATGGGAATGGGCATAGACTTGGCAGCTGCAACCTTCCCTGGAGGGGTCTCCTGGGCAGGGACCCTCTTGCCCGAAGAGGCCATTGGGGTGACAGCCTTCCCTGGGGAAGTTTTCCCTGCAGCAGAAGCAGCCCCTGGGGCCGTGGTTGGAGGTGTGTGCTGAACCACGGCCCGGGCCTGGGAAGGGCTCTGAGTCTGGGCCTCCTTGACTTTGAGGGTACTTGTATGTCTTACCGGTAGGCTGGGGTCATCTTGGTCCTGGGGCAGCCCCAGCTTGGCCAGAGCCTCTCTGCGGGCTTTCTGTTGTTCCTGCAGGGAAGAAGGGACAGGGACAGAGTCTGCAGCCTCGGTGGGGTGTGACAGCCAGTTCTGGGGGTGGCTGTGGAAACTGCTGCGGCTGCTCTTCAGTACGATATTAGGAGGCAGCCTGCGGGGCTTGGAGGCCGTGAGGGGAGCCTGTTGGATATTTGGCTTGACCTCTGATGGCAGGGGAGCCTCTTCAGCTCTTGTGTTCTGAGGAGGTAGCTGTGGCTGTGGCGGACCTTCTGTCCGGCCTTTCTCAGTGGCCTTATGGGACATCGTTTCCGAAGACATTTCCTCTTTCTTCTGGGAGCTGACCGGAGTACCAGCCTGTGGTGTGTGTCTCTTCTCTCCTAGCTCTTCAGGTAGGCTCTCTTCCCCGCTTTGTCTTGGCCTAATGTCTTGAAAAGCCTCTGGTGGGGGAATGAGAACTGTGCTCAGGTCAAGGGTAGTGTGCTGGGATGGGGCTGGCGGCTGGATGGGCTGAGTGCTCTGGCTGGTCCGCCCTTCCTCAGGCCCTTCCTCAGGCTCTGCTAACACCTCCGGTGTTTCAGATCCGTGGCTGTTCGTCTGGGTGGCGCTTTCCCTGAGGTTCTGGCTTCCGCCGAAGTGAAGGTTTCTGGGAAGGCTGTAGGAACCAGACCTGAGACCCAGACCTTGAGACTCGGGAGGACCAGAGGAGTGGGCCACTCTCCTTGGTGCGGGCACTTGCTGAGTGTCTCTCACCTCTGGGTTTCCTGTGGGGATTAAAGAGAAGAGGGGAGAAGCGTGAGCAGAGGGAGAAGGCTGCTGCTACTAAGCAGAAAGCACACACTCCCCCATGAATGGGGTTTGTCTGACTCTGCCTCCTCTTAACAGGGCAGCACCGTTTCCTGCACGTCATGAAGACTCGTAGATCAAAAACGACAGGTTCTTTTTGACTGGGCATTGGTTTTTCCAGAATGGTTGGAAGACATCACTTCTGAGTTGCTTCAAAATCTTAACTCAGGCTCTCCCCGCCTTCCATGCATGCCTCAAAGTCAGGGAGAGACTTGAAGATGGTCTTCATGCTATCGCATGGATTCCAGGTAACTGAGGCCAGTGGAGGCTCTTGCTGTCAACTGGACATGCTTTGGCGCTCTGCTTTCACTTTCTGTGAGAGCCTGGATGACTCTGTGGTAGCGTAGTGCCTTGTACCAGTGAGTGCCATGGTATCTTGCCTAGTGATCTCGGCGGGTATGTGAGGTCCACTGGGCTCAGTGAATTAGCCCCAGGGTACCTGAAGTTTTCCATTTCTGCTCTGCCTAAGTGGAGGGCCAAAGGCTGTGACAAGTATTTAAAAGTATTTACTGAACGAGTCAACAGTGCCGGTGGGATTGTTCACAGTAGCAATGTTTTCCTGTTTACCCTGGGACACATTCCCCAACACCCGTGCGCCATCCCATCCTCTTCTACTGAACTGGAACTCCACTGTCTTTCTGCTGTCTCTAGACAGAGCCCTCAAGGGACCAGGTGCTGCTGGGACACTCTTATCTCCCCCAGTCTTGTTCTCTGGGTCACCCAGATTAGCTCCCTATGCTGAATCATACTCTCCTGGGCCAATTACTTGGGCCTCTCTGGCTCCTCCCTACACGCAGTATCATATCTCTTTCTGAGTTCTTCCCTGACAGGAAGGGAGCTAGCCAAACCCCTTTCCCTCCTAGGCCTCGGTTACTTCATAGAAAGTCAGCAGAAGCTGGCTTCTCAGGAGTCCCCCACCCCTACCCCTTCCCTCTGGAGACAAGGCTTTAGTCTGGCTAGCAGACTGCAGGGCTCCCTCTCTGCCTAGGAGCTTGCTGTAGAGGGCAAGCGAGGCGGAGAGTGTTCAGAAGGAGACACTGGTCTTCTGAGAGTTGCCACCCTAGACAGTCTCTTACCCTGGGGAGCCTGTTGGGTGATGGGTAGTGCTCGGAAACTTCCAGGACTGGTGGCTGGCTCTGACTCGTCCGTGGAGAGTCCACTGTCAGCCTCAGCCTCCAGGGAGCCAATGGTCTTCTCCAGGAAGAGCAGACACTCCTTCTCTTCGGCAGACAGGAAGTCGTAACTGTTGTCACTCTGCGGGGAGAAGGAATCGTGAGGTGGGAGGGGGCCCCCGAGACCCACCCTGCTGGGGGGGAGAGCACTGCGAAGCTGGCAACCTTTCCCTGGTTCTGCTCTGCCAACCTGTGAAGCTGCTCCCTGCAACAGTAGGCGCCGAGGAGGGCTGGCAGGCCAAAGCCACCAGGAACCAGTTCTGAAGGCTGGGTAGGCAGATGGTTGGCAAAGGCCTTTGCTTAGTCCTGAGTAAGCGGAATGCTTAGATCAGAAGCAGCCCCGGGTTTTCATCCCGGTTCCACGTGATTTTCAACAATATTTCAACAAGTATGTCTCCCATCTAATTCTGAATTGTATGGGTAACAAACATGGCTAAAACTCCACTGTGTCTCCTGTAACTTTTCAAAGTACTTCTGCCTCCTCTCAGCTGCTACCTGGCAGGCCGGTGCCGCCAGCAGCTAAGTGAAAACCAAAAGGAGCTACGGGGATGCGTGACATTTGGTCTGAGCTTTCTCTAGGCAGTTCCACCCCTCTTCCTAACGCCTGCGACACTCCAGCACTTACTGTCCAGACTCACCAAGATTACTGGGGAAGGTTGCCAGATAGTCCTAGAAATATCTTGGGGAGCAGGGAAGAGGTTGTTAAATAACCCTGCCAATCTTGCCTGTCCCTGTCAGATGCCTGGACCTGCGTACCAAGGGAGCCTTCCCCAAACAGCTCTGGGAGTTCCTTGAATAAAGCTCTTCATCACTGCCCTCTGGATTTCTCCTTTATAGACTAGCCAATGGAACGGGAGCGTTCACGCTGGTGTCCGCAGTCAGAAGTAGGATGCTGTCCTTGTGTTCCCAGCCTCTCACGTCAACGGGAAAATGTGCATCTACTGCAAGCACTTTGCCTTTTCCATCCAGGTGTGGAGGGCACACTGTTGAGTCCCAGGATGACCCTGTCTCCCAACCAACCAACCAACCAACCAACCAACCAACCAACCAACCAACCAACAAGCCCATTAACGTTATTAAATACTAACATTTGGTAGACACCTTTCATAACCCTCTTTCCTTTTTGCTTCTTTTTGTTTGTTTGTTTTTGTTTTTTCAAGA